TGCCGGCTGACATATATCAGCTGCCGGCCTGCAAATCTAAATGCCGGCTCACATATATCAACTGCCGCCCGCAAATCTAAAAGCCGGCTCACATATATCAACTGCCGCCCGCAAATGTAAATGCCGGCTGACATTATTCAGCTGCCGGCCTGCAAATCTAAATGCCGGCTCACATATATCAACTGCCGCCCGCAAATCTAAATGCCGGCTCACATATATCAGCTGCCGGCCTGCAAATCTAAATGCCGGCTCACATATATCAACTGCCGGCCTGCAAATCTAAATGCCGGCTCACACAATTCAGTTACCGGCCCGCAAATCTAAATGCCGGCTCACATAATTTAACTGCCGCCCGCAAATGTAAATGCTGGTTCCCATATTAGCCGGTTACAGCCTTGATTGCCGACCCAACAAAAAAGAAAGTTAAAAATCAGATGTCAGAAGTGGGATTTGAACCCACGCCTGACTTGATAATGAGAGTGTGCCTTAAAGTTTCATCGACATGTTTAGAAAAATCATGCGTGCTTAATGACCGCACGAGAGCTGCTATGTTGGGGTTGATGTGGTAGTCCAGTGATTTCCTAACTGACCAATCAAATGTTTACTGTCACTTCTTACCAATAATTAACAATGGTAAACGAAAATTATAAATAACGAGCCGGCCCGCGGCATAACATACGCCGCTATTTAGTTGTTTTTTTCTACTTTTCAGTAATTCATAATTTGTGAAATCGACACTACCAATGCTGCCACTGGAAATATTTGCTTTAAAACACTATAAGTAGATCGCTAAGGACCATAACCCCCTTCCTTCCCCCCCCTCCCCCTCCCCCCCCCCCCCCCTCCCCCATATGTTTAAAATCGTATCAAACTAAATTATCTGCCCCTAATAGTCGTAACTAAACCCTGCTCTGTTTGTAAACATTTAGAGTGAACACAGCTCACTAAGACCATGTAGGGGTCGGGTGGTAGGGAGCGCGCTTACAGCTTGTTTTCTAGCGTCTCCCAGAAGAGAATTATATATCTAGATAGATAGTTCCTGATTAACCAATCAAAAGCAATTTAACAACTACATCAGCACAAGATGACGTATTTCAACCCATCTGAATTAGAAAATGGGCTTTTAAAAACATTTGATCATCATGTTTAGAAGGCCATTTCAAATTTTAAAAACAGAACCTGTCAACATAATACTTCACATTTTGGGAAATAAAAACAGGCATCAAAACTAAGAGTAACCAAATGCGCACTAACAAATTAGAAATAAACTAATGTTAATGCATCGGGTCATACATAGTTAACTATCGATTTTGTTGATTAGCTAATTACTAATTAGCGACTATTTAACTACGAGCGTCCTAAATGAATTTTTATTTAACACAACGTAAATATTGTCTAGTGGATGCATTTTAAAATAACTTTACGTCACATCAGTACATACATACACAGGCAACTTGACATAAAACAGACACATGTAAATACATACAAAGACATCAATACGTACATACAACTTACTGAGTATGAGGTAAAGGACAAACACACTTCTAGTCTAAGATGGTGATTTTAAAACACAATCTTGCGACATTTTAAAACAAAATCTTGCGACATTTTAAAACAAAATCTTGCGACATTTTAAAACAAAATCTTGAGACATTTTAAAACAAAATCTTGAGACATTTTAAAACAAAATCTTGAGACATTTTAAAACAAAATCTTGAGACATTTTAAAACAACATTTATAAAACTTTTACACAAAGACGGCTACCAGAGTTTGTTATGTCTTAATTTTAGCTCAACCTACTGAATGTAGTGTATCAAGTTTAGCTCAACCTACTGAATGTAGTGTATCAAGTTTAGCTCAACCTACTGAATGTAGTGTATCAAGTTTAGCTTAACCTACTGAGTGTAATGTATCAAGTTTAGCTCAACCTACTGAGTGTAATGTATCAAGTTTAGCTCAACCTACTGAGTGTAATGTATCAAGTTTAGCTCAACTACTGAATGTAGGATATAATACGTTGAATGGGAAATTAATATCGTTATTGTTAGGAAAGGCTTAACACTTTGCAAATTACAATTGCATTTCCTTAATTAATTTTTTTAGCAGGAACGGTAACTGTTTCTTGACAGGAACGATAACGGTAAACAATAAACAGTAAGCAGACACTCGATTTATTTACACGATCGCTCATATATAATGATGGGACACATCGGATTACCGTCGCTAAATAGGTCACGTTAACTAAAGGGGCGCTAATGCGGGTAAGCCATGAGATTGTCGAGTGATTCTTATTGGGCCGTGTGTCTAGTGCAGTTCAGGTAGGTGGTGGTACCTGCTGCTGTGGTGTGGTACCTGCTGCTGTGGTGTGGTACCTGCTGCTGTGGTGTGGTACCTGCTGCTGTGGTGTGGTACCTGTGGCTGTGGTGTGGTACCTGCTGCTGTGGTGTGGTACCTGTGGCTGTGGTGTGGTACCTGCTGCTGTGGTGTGGTATCTGGCTTGCAGTGTTTCTTCCAGACTTCTTTCTCCGGGGGGGGGGGGGAGGGGGGGGGGGAGAGCAGTTGAGATTTTCTGGGGGGGGGGGGGAATTTCCGGGGAAGTGGGGGCGGAGACTGTTAAAAGTATATATTTTCAATATAAATTCCATTTCGTTCGGGGGGGGGGGGCGCCGAAGAGATGACTGGTATAGGCGGGTGGGCTCTATGGCAGTCTACGCTGACCGGATAAATTGTTTACATGCTGAGGTTGCTGAAATAATTCAACTCTACTTCACCTATACACAACTAGGCCCCCGAAACGTATAAAACTAGTTAAATCTATTTGCTAACCTAACTAATAGAGTAAAAATTGTAGTGTTTTTTTTTTAAAAAGACAGGATGGGTAAGGTGTAGAGTCGACCTGTTTCACTAAAAGTTTTGTGTGGTAAGTTCTATCCGAATAGCATTTAATTTCCCTAATATGAGTTAGGTACTCATTAGAGCTGATTGGACTCAAGGATATTCAACAGATTCGAGTCCGGGATCCAAACACGAGAGAACTGGATGAGCAGTCGAGTGCTCTACCTGCCCGCCACGGTGGGACGAAAAGATTTGACGAGTCTCTGATCAGACGTGAAGCAGACGATATGAGATATGTCAAGGTCATTTCAAATTGGGGGGGGGGGATCATATCTACACTACTAAGTTAATCTCTCTTGTCCAAATATCCAAAGCTAACTAAAGAGCAGCCATGTTTTTTACGCATCATGGGATATCGTCCATGGCCTGCCCTCCCCCCTCCCCTCCCACACACACAGTAAAAGAACTAGTACAAAACCGCCGTTATGCCATACCTAGCTAAAGATGTGTCGCCTTAGGAAGTCTAAGAGAACACACACAACACTGAAGATGTGTCGCTTTAGGAAGTCTAAGAGAACACACACAACATTGAAGATGTGTCGCTTTAGGAAATCTAAGAGAACACACACAACATTGAAGATGTGTCGCTTTAGGAAGTCTAAGAGAACACACACAACATTACACACAACATTACACACACGTTTCTTTTCTGTTACACGCTGTTAAGCGGGGACGTAATAAATTCGTGTCGGGTACCGGGTTTCTTTCAGACCCTTTGCTCGGGATGGGGAGGGGAGTTGAAACATTCCGGAAAGGGGGGGGGGGGTAATTAAATGAATGGTATAATGGTATAAAATTATTTTTTCTTTTTTTTTATAACGTCAGAGTGGGGGGAGGGGGGCATGTTCGGCGGAGAGAGGACTGAATGGTCGCATTGGTCGGGTACCCGTTGGTCTGGTACCCATAAACACACTGACACCTGGGGGTTTGATAAGAACTTAGGAAGACGTGGTTAGAATGACGGTCTAATCTTTTAGCATTAAACACGAGGTACAGTTGGGTCAGTGGTAAATGGATGGGAACCTACAAGACTCTGACAAGCAAAGCCTGTGTTAGCCTCAACAAAATTCTTCAACAAAATCTCTAACAAAAGCCCTAACAAAACCCCAAGCAAAAAATACCCTCTCGGTCTAAGAAAAAAAGTCTTAGAATTTATTCAGCATTTCCTGTCAACCTAAAGCTGGAGCTATGACGTGCAACTATGTGTATGTGGGCTGTTGATTGATTAGTGCAGCTACATATAATTAAATGCCACCGATTAAAGCCAGTCTAGTTAAAGAAAATCTTATGACTGATGTGTTGTGTATCTGAACAATTCTGCATGCTCGAGCTTTCTATTTCACATTAAATTGACGATAAAAAAAAATCGACGACCACATAACACATGCCAATTTATTCCTTCTGACAAATGTGTTTTAAGCTTCCACTATTATTTTATTCTTCTTTAATTTATTAAGATTTCTGTTTTTATAAACGACTTCCTAAGTAGTTTATTCAAAGAGAAATAAACCGGGAGTGATCTCCCTTAAACTTTTAAAAATAGAATAGAATCTCGTAGAAAAAAAGAATTGCGCACCAAGCGAACGCCAAAACAAAATGTGCATAATAGTGCGCAATATTATAAGTACTTTTTAAATTTACATGCGTTTTTTGAGAAATCGGAAATAGCGTAAATTAGTACTTCCCGTCAACGGAAATTACTCAAAATTTGATAGAAGGTAGAAAATTAGATCTTTTACTAACATGTGACATTTCATTTATCTATTTGAAATAGTACTCAAGTTATAGGCTTTTTAAAAATTCAAAGTAGAAAAAGTACCACTTCCGGTTATCGGAAATCGCTCAAAAGTTGATACGGATCTACGATTTCGATAAAATACTTATATATGAAATTTCATCAACCTAGCATTAACGGTACTCAAGTTATCGTGTTTACACACAGACAGACGCACACACACACAGACAGACACACAGACATACGGACAAGATTGCAAAATTATGTTTTTCCGTATCAGTGAGATTTTTTTTGCACGATTACAAGACTTTCTCTATACTTCGTACAAACGAGAAAGTAAAAAAAGTAAAATGTGAGAAAATTACTTACACAACTTAAACTAAAAGACGAAGTGTCGCCTCAATGAAATCCCAATCCTGGAGTGTTTGGGCACTATAGGGAACCATAAGGCACGACATGGGCACTGCACAACAAACGTGTCTTACGGTGTCAACATGGAAATGTGTCTGGTATAGTTTACTGTCGGCTCTGTCACCCTCTGATTACTCGGGCTGGCCCCGCCCACTTCTTGTCTGCTGGTAAAAAGGGACATAAGCAGGGAGATAACGCTAGAATCTCACCGACCTAAGGGAGCTAACTATAAGCACAACCACAGTATGGCATTGTCATATCATTACATACGTGTATGGGGGTACGTCATACAAACTTTACCTGACGATTTGTGCCAGTTACAAACTTTACCTGACAATTTGTGCCAGTTACAAACTTTACCTGACAATTTGTGTCAGTTACAAACTTTACCTGACAATTTGTGTCAGTTACAAACTTTACCTGACACCTGACAATTTGTGCCAGTTACAAACTTTACCTGACAATTTGTGTCAGTTACAAACTTTACCTGACAATTTGTGTCAGTTACAAACTTTAACTGACACCTGACAATCTGTGCCAGTTACAAACTTTACCTGACAATGTGTGTCAGTTACAAACTTTACCTGACAATCTGTGCCAGTTACAAACGTTACCTGACAATTTGTGTCAGTTACAAACTTTACCTGACAATATGTGTCAGTTACAAACTTTACCTGACAATTTGTGTCAGTTACAAACTTTACCTGACACCTGACAATTTGAGTCAGTTACAAACTTTACCTGACAATTTGTGCCAGTTACAAACTTTACCTGACAATCTGTGCCAGTTACAAACTTTACCTGACAATATGTGTCAGTTACAAACTTTACCTGACAATATGTGTCAGTTACAAACTTTACCTGACAATGTGTGTCAGTTACAAACTTTACCTGACAATCTGTGCCAGTTACAAACGTTACCTGACAATTTGTGTCAGTTACAAACTTTACCTGACAATATGTGTCAGTTACAAACTTTACCTGACAATTTGTGTCAGTTACAAACTTTACCTGACACCTGACAATTTGAGTCAGTTACAAACTTTACCTGACAATTTGTGCCAGTTACAAACTTTACCTGACAATCTGTGCCAGTTACAAACTTTACCTGACACCTGACAATTTGTGTCAGTTACAAACTTTACCTGACAATTTGTGTCAGTTACAAACTTTACCTGACAATTTGTGTCAGTTACAAACTTTACCTGACAATATGTGTCAGTTACAAACTTTACCTGACAATATGTGTCAGTTACAAACTTTACCTGACAATATGTGTCAGTTACAAACTTTAACTGACACCTGACAATTTGTGTCAGTTACAAACTTTACCTGACAATCTGTGCCAGTTACAAACTTTACCTGACAATATGTGTCAGTTACAAACTTTACCTGACAATGTGTGTCAGTTACAAACTTTACCTGACAATATGTGTCAGTTACAAACTTTAACTGACACCTGACAATTTGTGCCAGTTACAAACTTTACCTGACACCTGACAATTTGTGTCAGTTACAAACTTTACCTGACACCTGACAATTTGTGTCAGTTACAAACTTTACCTGACAATATGTGTCAGTTACAAACTTAACCTGACAATATGTGTCAGTTACAAACTTAACCTGACAATTTGTGTCAGTTACAAACTTTACCTGACACCTGACAATTTGTGCCAGTTACAAACTTTACCTGACAATCTGTGTCAGTTACAAACTTTAACTGACACCTGACAATTTGTGTCAGTTACAAACTTTACCTGACAATATGTGTCAGTTACAAACTTTACCTGACGATTTGTGTCAGTTACAAACTTTACCTGACAATATGTGTCAGTTACAAACTTTACCTGACAATGTGTGTCAGTTACAAACTTTACCTGACAATCTGTGCCAGTTACAAACGTTACCTGACAATTTGTGTCAGTTACAAACTTTAACTGACACCTGACAATATGTGTCAGTTACAAACTTTACCTGACAATATGTGTCAGTTACAAACTTTACCTGACAATATGTGTCAGTTACAAACTTTAACTGACACCTGAAAATTTGTGCCAGTTACAAACTTTACCTGACACCTGACAATTTGTGTCAGTTACAAACTTTACCTGACACCTGACAATTTGTGTCAGTTACAAACTTTACCTGACAATTTGTGTCAGTTACAAACTTTACCTGACAATTTGTGTCAGTTACAAACTTTACCTGACACCTGACAATTTGTGTCAGTTACAAACTTTACCTGACAATCTGTGCCAGTTACAAACTTTACCTGACAATATGTGTCAGTTACAAACTTTACCTGACAATTTGTGTCAGTTACAAACTTTACCTGACACCTGACAATTTGTGTCAGTTACAAACTTTACCTGACAATTTGTGTCAGTTACAAACTTTACCTGACAATTTGTGCCAGTTACAAACTTTACCTGACAATTTGCGCCAGTTACAAACTTTACCTGACAATTTGTGTCAGTTACAAACTTTACCTGACAATTTGTGCCAGTTACAAACTTTACCTGACAATTTGTGTCAGTTACAAACTTTACCTGACAATTTGTGTCAGTTACAAACTTTACCTGACAATTTGTGCCAGTTACAAACTTTACCTGACAATTTGTGTCAGTTACAAACTTTACCTGACAATTTGTGTCAGTTACAAACTTTACCTGACAATATGTGTCAGTTACAAACTTTACCTGACAATATGTGTCAGTTACAAACTTTACCTGACAATCTGTGCCAGTTACAAACTTTACCTGACAATTTGTGTCAGTTACAAACTTTACCTGACACCTGACAATTTGTGTCAGTTACAAACTTTACCTGACAATCTGTGCCAGTTACAAACTTTACCTGCCAATTTGTGTCAGTTACAAACTTTACCTGACACCTGACAATTTGTGTCAGTTACAAACTTTACCTGACAATTTGTGCCAGTTACAAACTTTACCTGACAATTTGTGCCAGTTACAAACTTTACCTGACAATTTGTGTCAGTTACAAACTTTACCTGACAATTTGTGCCAGTTACAAACTTTACCTGACAATTTGTGTCAGTTACAAACTTTACCTGATAATATGTGTCAGTTACAAACTTTACCTGACAATTTGTGTCAGTTACAAACTTTACCTGACAATTTGTGCCAGTTACAAACTTTACCTGACAATATGTGTCAGTTACAAACTTTACCTGACAATGTGTGTCAGTTACAAACTTTACCTGACGATCTGTGTCAGTTACAAACTTTACCTGACAATATGTGTCAGTTACAAACTTTACCTGACAATATGTGTCAGTATTACAGACAAATAACCTGACACCAGCTCACTAAAATACTAGACGGATATTTAAAGAATGACATGGACACAAAAATGTCATTTGCGATGTGTCATTTGTATCGTCCAACTAATCAAATTTTTCTATAAGTATATTGACATATGTTGGCTAATACAGTGGATGTCATTTGATGGCTGGTTGTGTAGATGACATTTGATGTCTGGCGGTGTAGATAACATTTGATGGCGGGTTGTGTAAATGACATTTGATGGCGGGTTGTGTAGATGACATTTGATGGCGGGTTGTGTAAATGACATTTGATGGCGGGTTGTGTAGATGACATTTGATGGCGGGTTGTGTAAATGACATTTGATGGCGGGTTGTGTAGATGACATTTGATGGCGGGTTGTGTAGATGACATTTGATGGCGGGTTGTGTAAATGACATTTGATGGCGGGTTGTGTAGATGACATTTGATGGCGGGTTGTGTAAATGACATTTGATGGCGGGTTGTGTAGATGACATTTGATGGCGGGTTGTGTAAATGACATTTGATGGCGGGTTGTGTAGATGACATTTGATGGCGGGTTGTGTAGATGACATTTGATGGCGGGTTGTGTACATGACATTTGATGGCGGGTTGTGTACATGACATTTGTTGGCGGGTTGTGTAGATGACATTTGATGGCTGGTTGTGTACATGACATTTGATGGCGGGTTGTGTACATGACATTTGATGGCGGGTTGTGTACATGACATTTGATGGCGGGTTGTGTAGATGACATTTGATGGCGGGTTGTGTAAATGACATTTGATGGCGGGTTGTGTACATGACATTTGATGGCGGGTTGTGTACATGACATTTGTTGGCGGGTTGTGTAGATGACATTTGATGGCTGGTTGTGTACATGACATTTGATGGCGGGTTGTGTACATGACATTTGATGGCGGGTTGTGTACATGACATTTGATGGCGGGTTGTGTAGATGACATTTGATGGCGGGTTGTGTAAATGACATTTGATGGCGGGTTGTGTAGATGACATTTGATGGCTGGTTGTGTACATGACATTTGATGGCGGGTTGTGTACATGACATTTGATGGCGGGTTGTGTAGATGACATTTGATGGCTGGTTGTGTACATGACATTTGATGGCGGGTTGTGTACATGACATTTGATGGCTGGTGGTGTAGATAACATTTGATGGCGGGTTGTGTAAATGACATTTGATGGCGGGTTGTGTAGATGACATTTGATGGCGGGTTGTGTAAATGACATTTGATGGCGGGTTGTGTAGATGACATTTGATGGCTGGTTGTGTACATGACATTTGATGGCGGGTTGTGTACATGACATTTGATGGCGGGTTGTGTAGATGACATTTGATGGCTGGTTGTGTACATGACATTTGATGGCGGGTTGTGTACATGACATTTGATGGCTGGTGGTGTAGATAACATTTGATGGCGGGTTGTGTAAATGACATTTGATGGCGGGTTGTGTAGATGACATTTGATGGCGGGTTGTGTAGATGACATTTGATGGCGGGTTGTGTAAATGACATTTGATGGCGGGTTGTGTAGATGACATTTGATGGCGGGTTGTGTAGATGACATTTGACGGCTGGAGGTGTAGATGACATTTGATGTCTGGCGGTGTAAATGACATCTGATGGATGGCGGTGTAAATGCCATTTGATGTCTGGCGGTGTAAATGCCATTTGATGTCTGGCGGTGTAAATGACATTTGATGGCTGGCGGTGTGGTGTAAATGACATTTGATGGCTGGCGGTGTAGATGACAT